TCCAAAAGATATTTCCTCTTATCCCAGCATATATAAATACATTCAATGTATCTGATGTTTTAATGATGGTCCTCCTGTTGCTATAGACTTAGACCTGCAATAACAGGACTGACATTTTTTAACATTTGTGTTACTGTCATGTAATCTCAATGAATATAATAATGGATTTGTTAAACCAAAATCAGCTCCGGAATTGTTTTATATGTACGTAGAATCAAATCTACTGATATGAATCTATTTTAAATGCAGGACACATTGAAAACACAAAATAAATGATAATGCAAAGTTCTTTTTAGCCTTCCCTGATATGTAATATGTTAAGGAAAAGCAAGAGAACATTTATTTCGGTTGGTCAAGGACATGCAATGGAAAGAGTAGGGTATTCAGATAATTAAATCGTGTTTAATACTACTCTTCTGATACCCTATGAATTCAAAGATTCAAAGGCTTTAATGTAATATGCACAGCAGCTAAAGTGTAGAAATGGCAATGAGAATCTTAAGTCCAGAGCTCCTCCAACAATGCAACATAGTTATATAAGACATAAAACAAGGGCAAGAAGAAACAGTGGAATAAAATAGTGCAGATTATGTTGCCGATCAATTTGCAAGTAATGCAGATGAAGTAAACTATTACATGTCATAAGAATAAATAATGACAATAAGCCAAATAATGCAGAGAATTTTGTAAGTGACCAATTAAATGCAAGAGTCTAGATATACAGTACATGTAAATTGAATAAGACATACAGAACAGAATGTAAAATTAAGTATTGTAAAGTGAAATAAAATGTAATACTGTTTATTGTAGTGATAACTAATTTTGATACATACATTTTGATATGCAAACAGATGAATACTTTAAGTTATGGCCTTGATACAGATGTTTCTTTCTTTTTTAAAAAATATAATCATTTGGTAAGGCACTATGATTTTGCAGTGTCATTTCAGTTTCATTCTTAATTAATTTCTTATTTTTATTAAATTTGATAGGATTGAGTCCTTGACAAAACATTAACTATATGTTTTAATGCATTCTTATCAACATCTTTACTGTTAAGGCTAGGAGATCAAGATGAATATACGTATGTCCAACAAGTTTAATATGATAGGACAGATCCACCATGAAGCAGAGGGAAATGCCCTGTATGAATCTGACTGATATGAAAACAGCACGGCATGTGGTCATATAACCCTTCAACGCCCTCCAGAGGAGGAGGGCAGCATTACATAATTCATTCCTGCTGGCTGAAAATAGTTAAGTTTCGGTTTCCAATCATCAGAAATGATACCGAGCCTTCCTACTGCAGTGAACGCAGCAGCTGCTCAGAGCTGCAGTTGCTGTCTGGTTGGTCTGGTTCAGCTGGGAGCAGGACAACAGGAACAATAATGGAGCTAGAGTTAGAAATATTAAAGTTTATCTGCGCTAATCAGGGATCAGTGAACACAGAGGAGCTGCTGTGTAACCTCGGCTCAGGCGACGCTACGGCTGACATCATCAGTAACCGAGAGAAATTCGCCTTCGTTTGTCCGTTCGGTCAGCCGAAGGTGGTGGCGCGGACCTGCCTGAGGCTGTGCCTCTCGAAGGACTGTCCGGGCACGTGCACTGGGCTGCACCTGTGTAAAAAGTTCCTCCTTACCGGATCCTGTCAGTTCACCCGCACGAGGTAAACACAGTCGACCGGGTGTTTCATATGACTGCTGGGCAGACACTTGGAGAGGCCTGCCCTGCACCCCCACAGACATGTCTCAGTGTTTTTAATTGTTGATTTCCTAAATAATATTATTTCCAGTGTTGTTAAAGCGATTCAAATAACAGAGAAACGACCACAGGGTTGTTCAGGGTTGTTCAGGGTTATTATTAATGTGATGTGTTCGCATAATGTAATTACCTGTTTTTAAAGGCCTGGAGGCACTTGGTGCGTTCAGGCACTCGCTTGACACGCCTTTCCCCCCTTCTTCCCTTTATTCAAGAATAGTCAATTGATATCAAGTTAGAATACTGAAACTCAAGTCTTATCTGAGATTTCGTGAAAATAGCTTATAAGGTTAATAATATGTCTACAAGCTAAATATGGTGCGTAGCTAATTCCTTCTGCAGTTTAGTTTAGCTCAAGTTCTTTCAGGGGGGAATAAGCTAGCTAGCTAGCTACCAAATCCATGTTCCAGCACTTCTAAAGAGCAATAATTGCAGCTTATCTATACTTTAATAAAGTAACATTAAAGATCAAGTGTTTAGATATATTGGCATCAGCCGCCCTGGTTGTCTCGTCAGAATGCATATGTCATCCCGGGCTCAAAACACGATTCGGACGGTGTCTTACGTGTCGCGAAGGGTAAGGGATACCACGGTTATATANATATATTGGCATCCATAGGGAATGGGAAGCGCTGTGCATTCTGGGCAGGGGCTTAGCACAAAACTCCGGGCCCTACTGTATACGTAAACTGTCTCTGTGGTCCCCCTTTCTCTCTTGATCCATGTCTCTCATGCATCTTATGAAATGTATTTACAAATGATTGAGCCAACAACTGTACACATTGATCTGAAGCGGTTATTAGGCTAGTCACTAATGAACTAAAGTAGAACTAAAGTATAAGTAGTAATAATAGAAGTAATAATAATCTGTGCACATGACATGTTGACCCTCTTTCCTCAACATACTGTAGCTTACAATTACTTTGCTATGGTTAAATTAGGTTTGCTTGGAGTATCATGCTTAAGGGAACATTATCCATGTTTATTCAAGTATTTCTCATTCCCATGGTATAAGACAAAACTAAACACCATCTTAGTTTTCTAACCACTACATTGAGAAAGTGCTTACTATACTGCATGATAAAAGACAACTCAACAAGACTTCACTAGTCATGTTTATTTGCATAAACTATAACACACAACAAATCAGAAAGCATATAGGCAAAAAAGCAATAATTAAAAGTTATGCTTTGGATAATATGATTGATCTTGAAGTTATTGAACAAATATGAAGAATGTCTTACTTCAAACTTGAATGTATGTTATGGAACTGATGCTGACAGTCATGATATTGAAGTTCATTCCCCAGTAAATGCCCAGTGACGGGTCTTCTTGTTAGCAAAATCATTAGCTGACAAGCTTCTTCTTTGAATTATCTGAGCAAGCGGCCCCTCAGGAAGTGTGCCAGTCACTTTACCCATCCTAGTGGTAGTTGTAGTGGGCTGCCATTATGTAGGGCGCACAGGGAGCAGTGTAGGGAACAGTGCCTTGCTCAGGGACACCTCTTGCAGCACTTGTAACACTTGGTCTTTCGAGGACTTGAACCGGTGACCTTCCGGTTCCCAAGCCAAGTCCCTATGGACTGCGCCACCACCAACCATCTGTTTGCTGTTATTTATCATTGTGAAGACCAGTGGCGGATTTAGGATTGTAGGAGATCCGGGGCTTAGCCCAGGAATTGTTGGGGGGGGTTACCATTACTATTTTTTTTTTTTAAGTGAAACATCCGGGGCTTTTCAGAAAACATCTGGGGCTTGAGCCCAAGTAGCCACCCCCTAGCGCCGCCACTGGTGAAGACCAGGCAGACGTTTTCCTGTTGTTTTGTATTATAGCAGTTATCGGATGGAATCAATACATGGGCTGCACAGGTTGTCATGTCCGACTATCACAAGTAGAATTATAAAGAAAAATACCCCGGCAAAAATGGCTGTAGAAAAACAGGTGATATTTTGTCAGATGGTGGATATAAATTATATAATGTCAATTTAATGTGAACTCTGACCCTTCTGCACTAGTCAGACAATGCAACAATAATATGTCCTTTTGGTCTAATTAAATGCATTGTTGTTACATTTTTATTATTTTCCATAACAAATCTATATTTAATATTTAAACAAATAATTTAACTGAGAGGTGTATTGTGTTTTTTGATGACAGGACTGGATGCAGATTCTCCCATTGCCTGGACTCTTTCCACAATGCAGCGAAGCTGACTGAGCATGGTCTGGAGAGCCTGAGCCGGAGTGAGCTGTGCACCCTGCTGCTGCAGAGCGATACCAGGCTCCTGCCTCAGGTACGTCCAGAGGTGGAGTGGCCATCTGGAGTTCTGGCCAATCACAGAACAGCCGGCTGTCAGCGGGCCGCAAACGGCACGCTGACGGCTGGCACGGCCCCATTTTGTTTTTTAAACGTCATCATTTGAGTTGCACTGACAGGCGACAGAGGTCCAGAGCTGATTTTCAGTCCCAGTCCACCCCTGGGTATGTCTGACTTCATTCAGAAGATTCAGACGTTTCTCAGATCAGATTGTTTTTGATTCAGAATGTTTGTCCTGCCAGGTGTGGAAAAAAGGTTATTTGTAACACTGATCAACAGGTCCCAAGATGTAGTGCCAACATTGAAATTGTCCCTAACTTTAGTCTGTCTGCACCCTCGCAAAGGTTAATGAGTCGATTCATCCATTTAAAAATAATAATAATAAGTCAGTATACACTGCTTTATGTTTAGTATCAAGCAGAGGGAGTGTTCGCTAAAATAATTCACATTATAACCTATATTTGTGTCAGTCACAACACAAGCCCCTCGAGCAATAAGTCCACAGTCCCAGGAAGTGACAAAGTCCAGATTAAGGCTGTTATGACACCCCCCCCACCCGGACCTCCCAAGCCCATCTTCCACCGCTGCATTAGGAAATGCAATAACCAGGGACAATCAGCATCGTGGAGGAATCCACGTCAACTGCCCACTGAGCTGAAAAAAGAAAATAACAAATTGTAAATTCTTCGTTATGAAAGGCCAAATCTGATTTGTATAAAAAAGAACAGAGTCAGGTTGAACCCCAACATCAAGCTAATTCTGGATCAGCTTTCTATAGACTTACGGCCCGTCCACACACAGGCATGAAAAAAATCTTTCAAAGCTTCGCCCATTCACTTGAATGGGGTGACGTAGAAGATTTTTAATCTTCGCCGAACTGCATTGTGGGGAGCAGAGCATGGCTTTGCGAGCATTCTGAGCATCAAAAGTTGAGCAATGTTCAACTTTTGATGCTCCCGAAGCTTTCGAAGCTGGCATCAGCCAATCAAATCCCGTTTATGCAAATCCCACCAGTACAAGCGCTAGCCAATCAAACCGCGTGCAAGCTGGGAGAGCCAGACCGCAGTTCATTTCCTCATATTCCAAATGAGAAATTACGGTAGCAAATCACCCGGTTCTTTACGACCACAACTATTTTACCGGGATACAAACCGGAGGAACCAGGCATGGAGGGAGGTGGCAGAGACAGTGGGTGAAACTGGTAGGTTTTCGCCTGTTTGGGGAGTTTATATCCCGTTTACTTCGTTTTAACATTGCTATTGCTTTGTATGTCGGGGGCGGGAGATTCATGTGATTGGTTGTTGGTCGCGTTGCTCGCAAAAAATCGCCAAGCTTCAGACACGCCCAGCATCAAGATTTTTCAAGATTCTTTTCATGCCTGTGTGTGGACGGGCCGTGAGTGATGGCGCAGCAGTTGGTGCGGTCTCCAGCCAAGGCAAATGGCGCGCACAGACGCGGCCTACACAGCGGTCGGAAGAAGGGACATTCAGCT